CTGCTTAGACAGTTTTTACAGTCTACATCCCATTTACATTTCCTTTTCCTCTTTGGGAGACATGGGAAAGTTTTAAGACTTACAATTCATCAGTACATACTAATTTTTATGAAGGCTTTTGTTCATTTCTCAAGTGTAGTTTTGTCTGCAAAAAGATGGAGGTGGTGGTGGTGGGTGGGTGGGGGGTTCTGACCACTCCTCTGGATCCGCCCTTGGAATGACGCACATGTTACGTATACAGTATGATTATAAACAGATAACGATATGGGACAAACTTTAAATTTTAAAAAATCGGAACAATACGTGGTATGCATATTTTTTTTTTATATTGCCAATTACCGTCGGCAAATTGAATTCAAATACCGAAAATTTCTGCTATCTAAATCAAATATGAATTTGATTACATTAGATATAAATGTATGTTTTTGCTGAATTGTGGCAAATGAACAGTTTATAAGGGGTTATTGTATACAGTTGTCATAGACAATATGAAGGGAGCGAATCAAAGAAATACATGTATAGCTTTCATTAAAAGGTAATCAATTTAAAACAACAATATATTATGCATACCAGCGCAATTTTTCATGTCGACAAAACTAAGGCCTATATACTAATTCTTCAGTGTGTTTTAAGAAAAAGAAATGGTGTTATCAATGTTGAATTGCTAGCAACGCTCCCGTCCCGTTCGATTCAGTACGATATACAGAGATGCAGAATCGGCTTTAAAAAGTTAAGGGAGGGGGGTAAAAAGTATCAAATTAAGACAATTTTTAGGACAGAAAAATTCGACGAGAACAAAAAATGTTTTGGAAATAAAGTATATTATTATCATTCAAAAACATGCATTAGTAAAGGGAAGAAAATAGTTTCTCTCTCTTTTTTATTCAGTCTTTTACATTAAAATATTTCGGGGTGAAGTCTCCTCAGAGACCCCATTTTAATCCGCGACAGGTGTGCCTACGGCTCTTTGGATTGGATAGCATAGATATTATACATTAAAATTAAGGATTACATTTTTTTTTTAAAGAATTAAAAAAAAAAGAATAAAAAAACCCTTATTTTTTTTCTAAACATATTTGGTAAATTTAATCTTCTTGGCTCTAAACAAAATTGATCTAAAAGTATTCCTTATTTTTTCCCCTTGTTGGGGGGTGGGGTAATCTTAAATGATATTGTTTCACATGTACCTAAAAGAGGACCCCCAGCCATTATGTTGTCTATGAAACATTCAATAATAAATTCAAATTTCATTCCTTATTGGATGACATATGTATAGATATATTGTATGATAACTATTTTTATCGTTCCTTAATATATTAGTTTACATATAAATTATAAAATTTGTATCATATATTGGTACAGGTATGTCAAATTGCTCAACGATCAAAGAAAAGAGAGAGGAAATACGCAGAGAACAAAAGAGAAAATGGAAACAAAAACAAAAATTATTGAGACCAGCAAAGGAGTTGTCTCAATCTATAGCTGCTGTAAAGAAGAGGCAGCAGAGAGAGAGGCTTGCTCGGAAAAAAGAGGAAGAACGTGAAAAAAGACAACAAGCTACAGAAAGAAAGCGGAAAAGTAGGGCAGTCCTTAAGAGTAAACAGATTCAAGAGAAATTAAAGAAGGAAGAAAAACGCAAGAAAAACACAGAGAAACAAAGACGATGGCGAGAAAAGAAAAAAATACTCAAGCAACACAATCTTCCGCTCACACAAGAGGAACAACAAATATTTCAAAATAAAATGAGCAAATCCCGTGCAATAAGAAAGTTAAAGGAAGCTCTTCCTAGGACACCTCTAAAACGTATTGCAACTGTAAAGGCGTACTTGTCCTCAAAGAAATCACCCACGGTTAAGGAACTACAGCGTAGAAAGGTTGTACCATCACCGGAAGAACGCAAAGAATTGGAAATGAATGAATCGGTTATACAGGATGTGAAATCTTTCTTGAATTCGGTGAAATTTAAGAGGAGTGATAAGTCGCGGGAAGTCGTCGACATTCTAGCTGCATCTGTATCAGGACCATTAGTTCAAAAATCTAGGGCCAAAGTTGACCTTGCGAGAAAACTCGGAATGCCAGTTAGAAGGATCTCAAAGGGTGTTCGAATCCGACAACGAGTTTTGCATTCAGAACAATCATCCTTTGAGTTTACAAAAAGGAAAACAAGGTCAGATAAACTAACTGAAGAAGTTCAAAAAACAATATATGATTTTTGGTGTCTACCTGAAAATTCGCGGCACACTGGAAATAAAACTGATGTCAAGCGTGTCCGAATAGGTCCAAAAACTTCTGTAGCCATGCTATTCAAATTCTAGAAAAAACACAGAGTGAACTGTTCATGTCTTTTAACCAACATTATCCTGAAATTCAGATTTCACAGAGAACATTTGAAAAATGTAAGCCATATTTTGTCCGATCTGCAAGGAAAAAGGATAGAACAACATGCTGCTGCAGGTATCATCTAGAGAGCAAGTTTTTGTTCAACGCTTTCAAGGCACGTAGAAATCAGTTGGCAAACGATGGGTTGCTGGACGAAAACACATTTAAGGTTTACAAAACAATTTCGGAATTATGTGAAGATACGATGTGCCATACGGAGGATGGAAATTTACATTTGAAAGACTGTTTAGAAAGAAGCTGTGAAAAATGCGGTGTTCATTTGCTGAAATTTTGTGACGCTGAATTAGATATGTCTGACGATTCGCCAGATGTAAACTGGAAAAAATTCGAGTATGTTGACATCAAAACAAAAAATGGCACCAAGAAGAAACTGACATTGGTAGACAAAATAACAAAGTCCGGTGAGATGATAAAGTATTTTAAGAAGGTGTTGGGGTTTTTCCCAGGTCATCATTTCAGGGCCAAATGGCAAACGGATCAGCTGAAAAATCTTGCCGAAAACTTACCGGAAAACGAATGTTTAACAGTTCATGATTTCTCGGAAAACTACCGATGTAGTGAGCAGATTGAAATCCAGTCAAACTATTTTCAACGAACTGAGGTTTCCATTCACATTTCACTGATTTATAGACATGCTATTTTAGAAGTTGACGGTGTATCGAGCACCCCCGATGACCCTTATATTATTTGTGAACATTTTTTTCTTATTTCTCCTGACGAAAAGCACGACCATCATTTTGTTAAATGTGTTCAGAAATTGATATCTGAATATTTGCAGTCCATCAATTACCCGCTCTCTACAATGCATGAGTTTTGTGACGGATGTCAAAGCCAATATAAAAGTAGGAACTGTTTGGGAAATCTCGTTCATTCCGTTGACGAGCTTGGATATCAGAAAATGATACGAAATTATTTTGAAAGTAGCCATGGTAAAGGACCACAGGATGCAGCGGGAGGTTTGCTTAAGAACCAAGCTGATATGGCCGTTATCCGCGGGAAAGCTCAAATAAGATCTGCGCTTGATTTATTTAATTTTGCAGAGGCGAATCTCAGGACACCGCGATCTCATGCCTGCAAAAGAAGAATATTTCGATATATTGAAGAAATCCCGAGGTTTGAAGAGAACTTTCAGCCAATTAAAGGAATTCGAGCCGTACATCGAGCAGAAACATCTAAAGACGGGAAAATCATATAACGTAATATGTCGTGTTACTGCGACAGTTGTCTAGAAGGGGAAAAGTGTGAAAATTTACCTCAAGTTGGACTTTCCAAAGAAATGAAAATGAAGTCGAATAGCGAATCTACACATCAGGATCCTGACATTTCTGAGGAAGAATATACCGAGGCAGAAACACTCTCAGATTTTATTACTGAAGGAACAGTGTTTGCTGTTCTGTGCACAGGGGATGACGACAATGACTTTTATCTTTTACAAGCCACATCAAAGAGCAAAACTCTACGGAAAGCCAAAACAGACAAGTGGGGTGGATCGTTTGTTGCAGGGTCAACAGTCATCCACGGAAAATATTTTTGCTAAAAAGGAAAACTCAATCTTGGACTATAGGCTAATAAAACGCCCAGTAGCCATGGTTCCAAGTGCATCTGTACTGTTTATATGCCAAAATGTATCTATACAAAACGAAATTCTTCACCTAACCGAAGAGGAAAATGAAGATATCCTGGAATGCGTCGATTTGTGCGTGTTAACACACTAAATTGATATTAAATGGCATCTAAATATTTTTTAGAATTGATTTCAAACCTGTATTTTTAACAAATTTAAAGAAAGTTAATTAATACGGTAAAGAACAGTTTTGCCTGTTTTTGACATGAACGTTTTTCACGCTACATAATAAACATATTCACTCATTAAACTTCCAGTTTCTTTTCATTTTATTTTATTTTTTTACTTTTAACATAGAAATGGATTTAAGGGAACTCTAAATTCTAATGAAAACGTTTTTTTTTACTTTGAGATCTTTTATATAAACGTGTAGATACTTCAATTTCAACAAGGGTACTAGTACCTAGCTACAACATTCACCAAGAAAAAATATATAAAGATGTTTAAAGAAAATGAAGTATTCGCTCATGTTTACGTACATGCAATTAATGTATTCAGGGTTTTTTTGGTCAATATTACTTTCATTTTATTTCAAATTGTGTCATTTACTGAAGATTTCCATTTATTCCAACTTACATAAAAGGGCAGATCACTTTAAATTCATAAAACATATGGATTAGAACTCTTCAGTATGCAGTTAAACCTTTATGAAAGTTTTACTAAGTCGCTGATTGATATGAGTAATTTTTACGTCCCGTTTACGTGACGTTAAACGTCATTTATAACGTTACCAAATGTGACACCAACACCGTGCGTAACGTCAGCCTGTATACTTTTTACCTTGCGAACTCAAGAATATTTCAGATTTTTCATTTATCAACTCTCACGTGGTTATCAATTCCTATAAACACTTAACGCATCAAAAAAGTTTGTTTTTGGTAACTACAGTAGACTTCGGGTTGTTTCAGATAGGAATGCACAACCCCATCAGTAAATATTTCCACAAATAAATAGACCATATCAAAAAGTAACACAATTATGTTACATTTTTTTTTATTATCCTATTCTTTATCACAAGCTTATGTACAAATTCATAGACTTATTATATTGAAAAATTACATTCAATAAAGTCTTTTAAATTCTAACAATGATGATTTCAACACCATAACCATAAACGTTCCAAGAAGTTCCATCTTCATCGAATTCACGTGCACTTCACTTCCGGGGAAAGCTAGATCATGCTCACGGGGCATGCGTACATGTCTCAAACGCCTTTTTTTCACTTTCACAAACTTCGTGAAGACTGTACTGGGCCATCACATTCCCATTTCATTGTACGGTTTTGGTGCAATAATGAATCAAAAACAAACTGTAAAAAAAAAAAAAAATAATAATAAGATAATGCTTTCATTCCATACAAATTACTTTTATTACCACTCGATAAAATTCTGGTATTGAACATATTGCTTTAATTATTTCAAACTTACTGTTTAATTATGAGGTAGAATGCATCATCCAGGTAACTCAATGACGTGCCAATGTGGCACCCCATGCATGAGCATTTTCTTGAAGAAGTTATCAATCAACTTCCACTCTTTCTCTGCGGCAGGGGAGTCGATGACGTCAGTTTTGGGAAACTGTTAAAGCAAAAAGCATCAAATTTTACGTACGTTTAAAGGTTTTCCTGAAATGGATATCCTGTGTGCACTTGGAAATATTTCTTTAATTCTAAGAAATTAACAAATGTATACTACTTACTAGAACCAGCACACAGGAGAAATCAGAATTCAATGAATGGTCAGTCGGCTGTGTATGGTCGAGAATTAACATCTCTAATTTCTTTGCACAGTCCACCTGGAAGTAATAATTCATTTACATTATAATAAATTTTAATTGTAATAATTGTAGCTGGATAATTGTCTTGGCAATTAATAAAACTACTTTGCTATTACAATTTTGTTACCTTCATTACTCTTATGCCATTTTCCCAGCAATGTGCTTCAATAAGTGTTTGTTCTATGTTAATAGTGACGTCAGCATCTTCTGGCGGCTGAGGTAAAATACATAACATCACCGCATCCGGGTCTCTGTAATCGAACAAAAACTTTTTTAAAAATAATTTTTTATATTTTTTCATTTTTTTCCATAACATAATATTACATGGTACAAAATTTGCATGCTGCAAATAACATAAAGCTGTATGCTTCAGGTGCATGAGCGACGGCAAATAATTACCTCTCCAAAATGGCCGCACATTTATGGACTCCATTGAGGACCCTTTCCTGTTGGGCTGCATTCCTAAAGACTTCAAGCACACCAGGGCAGGCTTTTACACAGCTTCTACAAGATCAGAAAGTCCGCTTATAGACCTAAATACATCAAAATTATCTTCATCAGTAATTCAAGTTAATTCCAAACAAAATTCATACCCTGTGATAAAATACATGAGTATTACATGTATGCTCTACATTAATTTCACTTCGTTATATCTTGTTAATTAATGCAAAAACATAAACAAATTTCAAGTTTAATAGAAAATTCGCGTGTTCCTCTGTTTGTCGACCGCCAATCAAATAAGTTTTATCAACAAATAGGAAGTTAATTTTACAGTTACTTTTAGTAAACATAACTTGGTCGTCACGTAAGTTAAATAGGTCAAGATCAATATTGAAAATAAATTTTTAAGCATAATATTTTTTAAAAATGAAATAAAAATGCATATGACATACATGTATAATTTACTCAACAATGATATTCAGATCTATTACTATGTTGGAAATTCAGTAGGTTGAGCGGTTGTGAAATTTAATAGTTAAAACGATGGTTAACCACACAATTTTTAATTTACAAATTTTATCCTGCACAAAGTAAAGGTATGCTTTACAGTGCTGCGACCAAGTATCAAAAATTGGCATTCCAATGATAATGTTCTAATTCCATATAAGGAAACGTACCAAACAAACTTAAAATATATATAACGTCCCCAATCTCCAGTCTGTCACGTCCTTACTAAATATAGAAATGATCGTCCTAGTTTGTGAAGTATTGATTGAGGCAGAATAATAAGACTGGCAATAATCCCAGGACTGACGCATCTCTATAGCTAGCTACTCATCGTGTGACAAAATGCAGCCAAAACTATTTAAATACATTTTTACTGTGTATATTTAGCCCAGCTGTTCTGAGAATTTAACCAACAGACTATCAGATAGTCTCTCATTCACGTTTTTACAACAATTTACAGTACATTAAACAATGCTTTTATCTATCATCTAATGACTATCATTGAATAAAGTCATGCTGACCATTTTCACCTTGAGCAAAGAACATACGTACGTAGACGTATTGGTGACGCAATTACATGGAAGATATACATACGATATATGCTATAGTGAAAATTAAAATTGCATAAGTTCTGCAACTTTTAAACAAGAAAGTTCATGTAGTTGCATTGAAATTCAAACTGCTTGTAGACGAGTTTGTCCAGAAATTCAACAATTATGCCAGGAATTCAGAATTTTGAGTAAAAATCATTATAGATACTTACTCCTCGCTGCACTGCTCCACCGAATCTTTCTGTTCCGTCAATGTCATTTCGTCTCCTCTAAAAAGAATCTTCACTTTGAAATTATTCACAAAAGAAAGTCTGCAAGAACTGCTGTGTTTAGAACGTCTTTACTACGGAGAATTCGTGTAAGGTATGTGGTATGTCGTAATCCGGATTAGTCATGTGGTTATCCCTGACTCTGGATCGAGCTCTTCGATTGGTCGATCACCTAGGATGTTCCTATTTTTCAACTGACGATCCAGTGCGCTAATCCTTGATCAGGATAAAGGACAATTGCGTAAGGATAAACATCAGCTGTGTTTTGTTTATATACTTATGACTGGTAAACATAAATAGAAGAACTTTTTCTGTAGAAGAATATCTGCAAGGTCTTAATTTGTGAAATGTTCCAAATATAGAACATGGCCATTACATGACTAACGTTCTAATTATAGATTTCTATTACATATAAATATAGGCTGGGTGTTTTCTTCTGTCAAAGTCACATGCTCCTAGCACTGGATTTTCACCCGTGACACCACTGAAAACACATTGTGTAAATCACATTTAATGAATGACACGGGAAGGCTTAAATTCATAGAGGTTTATTGGATTTTTTGGTTTTATTTTTTTTTAATTAATTATTCATTATGTTTAACGTTGTAAAACATTTCAAATGTTTTTTTAATTTCAAAAATAGCAGGCCTCCAGGAAGGTTGGGGGGGGGGGGGAGGGAGGGAGGATCCAAATATAAATTAGGAAAAAAAACTCCCTGGTTTCTGTGAATAGAAATTGTGAATTTTTTTAAAGGGATATTTTTGAAGACGTAAAAGATAAGTAAAGGTGTATATGTAATAACATTATAACAGAATTTATTTTACATACATATTCTGTAAATGTGAAATATCACATTTGGAAATATCGTTTTAAATTGTGTAAACTGTGAACTTAAAATGAGCAATGTAATGATTTTTTTTAAAGCTTACTAGTTCTAATAATTATGATAAAATTATAAGGAATGGTAAATTATAAATGTAACATTTATCACTTGTAAGTCACCTTTATCCCACTTTTTCGGGGTACACAGTCCTTGATTACATCAACTAGATATTGAGCATCATTTTGAGTTTGTACAAATGACGAAGAAGCCCGTGCATCACCTGATTTGTACTCACTCTTGCTGTAGTGTCAACTGACACAGAAACTGTGTATAAGAGTAATGACTTCTGACGAGGTTATTGTGGGGGTTTCTAATTTACTCACTATCATTCACAGTCAGTAGTCTTATTTTACACGTTTTCTACTCACGTAAAGTCATGTGACTACCAGTAAAACAAATGGGTTTACCAATACGTGTCCTTAGCCTTACAAAGTTTTTTTTATGCCGCAATCGAAGATTCGGGGGTAGATAGCTTTTGCCCTATCCGTCCGTCTAGCTGTCTGTTTGTCCGCAAAATCTTTAACCTTGCCCATAACTTTTGATTGGTTGGAGCTATGGCTTTCATATTTCACATGTATTTTCCTTGTGACAAGACCTACCTTTGGGCAAAAACGTATTTGACCTCTTAACCTTGGAGTTTGACTTTTGCAAAACATTACCCAACTTTAACCTTGGCCATGACTTTTAAACAGTTGGTGCTAGGGCTTTATAATATTTCATTTGTGTATTCATCGTTACAAGACCTTTCCATGGGTATAAATATTTTTGACCTTGACCTTAGTTTGACCCACTTTATAACCTTGGCCATAAATTTTGAACAGTTAGCACTAGGGCTTTCAAATTTCACAGGTATATTCCTTGTGACAAGACCTTCCTTAGGTTACCAACAATTTTGACCTTGGGGTTTGACCTACTTTTGAAAAACTTTAACCTTCGCCATAACTTTTGAACAGTTTGAACAGGTGCTAGGGATTTTATATTTCGCACGTGTATTTCTTTTGACAAGGTCTTCCCCTGCATACGATAAATTTTGACCCTTTGACCTTGACCCTGGAGGTTGACCTTTTTTAAAAAACGTTGACCTTGACCAAAATTTTTGAATGGTTGGTGCTTGAGCTTTCATATTTACCAGGTATATCCATTGACACAAATCCTTTCTTTCAGTAACAACATTTTTGATCTCTTGACCTTGGAGTTTGACTTGCATTTGAGAAACTTTAACCTTAGCCATAAGTTGCCATACATGCCATCAGTGTTTCACCAAACACATTTTGGTTTTTTTTGTTTGCTTTTTTTTGTTTTTTTTTTTGTTTATAAAAGAAAATACAGAACATAACTTTTACAAATGATTTATTAAAAGTTCTATTAAAGTAGATCAATTAAATGTAATCAATGTCATAATCATGTAAAAGAACACCATAAGTAATGAATTTTTTTTTTTTTTTTTTTGTATAATTTCTTCACTCTCTGTCCTCTTCATCATCATCACAACTTCTTCTTCTTCTTCTCAAAAGCCTCCCTATCACTTTCCTTGCTTTTATCATATTTTTTCATGCTTTTTCCAATATGCATTTAGAATGTACACACTGAAAATGAGTCAGTACATATGGGAATGGTTTATGTCCAGCTATAATGAGGTTCCATTCACAAAGTGTTATTCTGAGGGCCAGGATCAGAGCTGGGGAAAGTGGAGATGGGGAACCCCCAATACGTGGGGGGTCCAAACACCACCTCCACTCCTACAGCCATGGTTTTGGAAGAACAGTCACTTTCAGGCAGAATTCACAATGTAAAATGGAAAACATAATAACGGAACCATTCCCGGCCAGCTTGCAGGAACTACTTCCTTTACTTACAAGTCTGCAGACTTCTGCAAGAACAAAAAGAAAGAGGTAAAAAAAAAAACATAAACAGTTAATAAAATATATTATTTTACTACTTTAATACAACGAATTTAGAATGTTATCAATTCCATGTACTGAATGTACATGTATATTTTTGTCTTACTTCCATATGGCATGTCCGTTGGGATGCGGTCATCAGGGGAAATCAGGCCGGAATCTGGATTACCAGATTATGGGGATGTTTACGACATCCATTCAGAAACTTTCTTTCCAACTGTGTCCTCCCCTCCTTTGCAACCTGTCAAATATGAGTAAAACTCTTCATTTTCTGAATAATTTTTTTCATGGTTTTAGATGTTCTTTATCTTTTAAATGCGTGTCTACGAGAAAACCATGCAAAATCCAAATTTTATTATGAAAGGCATTGTGATCATTTTGACTGATTTTATTGTTTCTGATTAGCATCATGTGTCCTCTAATAAATCCCAGTATCAAAACTGTCAGGTACCTTTGGGGATCCCTATTATAGCCCTATATTCTATTTTTAGCACATTTTATGAAAATATTTTGAAAAACACCCATAGATTAAGAGAAAAAAATTGCAGGAAAAAATGCACTTTTATTCAAATGTTACATATTAAATAAATTTAAAGGAAGTGCTCTAACTAGAAATATTTTATTTAATTTCATTTATCAACACTGATTCTGTAAAAGTGGGGTCTAAAATTAGATTAAATCAATGTGTTTAAAATACCACTATCTTTAGAATGCTGTAAAAACCCAAGAAACGCTTAAAACATTATAAATATCAGTTTAATTGCAAAAATCCTTCAAAATCAATATATAGTTAAAAGGAATTTGGTTGCAAATGGCATTATGCTAATTTAAAAATAGATTGAAGTTGGCTGAAACTATTAGAAAAATTATCTCCCTTAGTGGAACTCTCCTTATTTAAAGGAATTAAAAGTGTGATGTCTTAATGGCAGACGAAAAGATGAAGTGTTGATTTGAGGACAATATTATGATAAAAGATCTCTAGCTTTGTTGAAAGATTGTAAAATAGATTCAGCTGAATATACAAGGTATTTTAAATGCAGCACATAAGACATTTCTGTCCGTGAAACGCTTCTTATCGTTAACCATCTTGAACCATACAGCTGTTATGGGACTTGGACAGTCTAATTTCTGTAAACATACCTACATGTACATGTATGTGTCAAACACAGAAATATACTTGGTCTACACTGGAAAAGGAAAAAAGAACATGTTGTCACCCATACCTGATAGGGGAGACGCTATTATGCAAACCCGTTAACCGAGAGGGTCAAGCTGAATGAGGTTTTGCCTGTTGGAACTGGTAAGAACATTATACAGTTTAAAAACTTAAGGAATTTTGCTAAACCATTGAAATTAACTTAATTTCTGACCTTAAAGTTTTCAGAGAGACACTGTACATGATATTTGGGTTGTCAATAAGAAATGAAACAGATTTATATATATAAAAAAAAAAGCATGTTGGGGGTTCCTCCCCTTAGTGAAGGTTGAGAGGGCAATACCAGAGTAATTGGGGAATTATGTCATTATAGGTGAAGAAATTCCCCAGTCCCACAGGTCTTAAGGACAACCCTATACATGTAAATATAATATCACAAAGTGATATCATAATTGGAAATATTTACTGACTTTGTGTTTATAGTTTGTGAAAACCTATTGATATCAAGTTTATACAACTTACATGTCCAATCTATAATGATTTATATCTATCAACTAATTTGATTCCTAATTGTTACAGGTATATGCAAAAGATGTATAGAAACACACTTTAAAAAATCAGTATGGAAGTAAAGCTGAAGGAAGAGCTTAAAGGTACATATACATATACTGTGTGTTTATAATTATATGTAAATTTTAAAGTTTTATCAAATTATTTCTAAAATTTACTCAGTAGCTTATACATCAAGTTTCACTTATGAAGCAAAATTACCTGCTTTTATTATGTTATAGCTGAAATACATGTAAAAAGTGAAAACTCTTGAGCAGAAGTCCACTTGCTAATTCTTGTTCTCATTTGAGTATATTTAGTACTCACATAAATTAAGGATTCTACTGTAAATGTTGATGAATGGCTTTTACACTCAATAGTTTCATAATATTGATCATTTCACATGTAAATGATCCAATCCTGTTTGGAAATAAAATTTCAATTGCATATTGTTTTGAATTAGTTCTAAAAATAAAATCTCAAGTGTGATTTCTGTTTCATTTTATGTGTACATAACTGGTTATAAGTATTCATGTAACTATGAGGATTATTAAGTATTGTATAGTTAATATTAAAATTAATGTTTATTCTTTAGCAGAAATGTGTTCCTATTGACAAGGCAACAATTGAATCAAACCAAACAGGTGATCACTTACTGTAATATAATATAATATTTTTAAGGTTCTACATAATGATAAAGATAATGTCAATGTTTAATATCTCAAAAAATAAAATTAACAAATATGTTTCATTTCCACACTGAAAAATATAACCAAGTGGACATTGTTCTCATGCAGTTCAATGACATGAACCAGAGTTTGTACATGTGGTTAACATTTTATAATGTATACATACAAGTTACTATAATCATGATAATATACATGTAACTGCTCATTCACATTACTGATAAGTAAAATAACAAAGAACAATTTATGTGAAGTAAGGTCTAAATGGTGAAGATGCCTGAATATGTGACTGATAAACTGAAAAGTCCAGTCCATATAGTTCAAGTTTTGAGCTTTAAAATTATTTAATTATGATTCATTCAAATTGTTTCAGCATTAGCATTTTTAGCATTAACTGTAATGTATAAGGGTATATATACTTCATGGCTTTTTCAATTATTTTACAGAGCAAAGAGTGGAGGAAAATGGAAGAAGTCATGGACTTAACAGAAAACATATGACCTAATACCTGCAGGTAACAGCCTCCACCCCCCCCCCCCCCCAATAAATGTTTATTGGTCTGTCCATTGGTCATTCTGTCTGCACATGTATGTACTATAACACTTTAATTTGGGAACAATATCTCTTAAAGCCTTTGAGCTTTTGCAATATCATTTCATATCACAACTCCTTACAGCCTAGAGAAGATCCCTATTGATTTGAGGTCAAAAGGTCAAGGTTGGAAATTCCTACAAAACAAAAAAAACTCAAATAATAACTTTAGTTTCCCTTGAGCTTTTTCTGTTAAATTTTATATCATAATTCCCAATGACTTAAAGAAATCCCCTTTGATTTCAAAGTTAAAAGGTTTAGTTGAAAAATTCATATCTTGCAATAAATAATGTCCTGGTGATAACTTTGGTTCTCTTTGAGGTCTTGAATTTATTTCTTTAATAAAAAAAGACACCAATTGACTTTAAGGCCAAAAGCTGAAAGGTTAAGGTTGACCTTTTTCTTTTTCCATCTGCATTTTTTTTTTGGTCCAGTTCTTCCATCCTCATTTTTTTCCATAAGTGGGGGCCACAATTCTCTGAATTAGCTTGTTTTATATTTGGATCATTTGCAGGTTTGCATTAAACTCAATTAGCCATTTAAGGCATTTGGATCTCTTACAAAATAGGAAATAAAGGTGATTCAGGCTAGCATTGCCAAGGTCCCTTTGTTGTAAAATTGAAATTATTCCCTAATTCCCAATGTCATTTAGAACATCAAAATACATGCTCTTTTGCTTTTGGGTATAAATGAAAATTTACTGTACTAAAATGTCTTCTTTGATTATCATAATTATTGCAATATCAATTATGAACTTTAATTCAAACATCAATTTGTCATTGCTTTTACAGATTTTGAATTCATATCATCAGTGCATATAAATTGGTCAAAAGATGAAAGATCTCAGCATAAATTGTTCAATCATGCAAAGCATATCCTGTCAAATGGAGATTACCCTCCCTTAAAGTGCCAAGTATCTCAGAAATTGGACTATTTGCAATACTGTTCAGGAATATTTTACAGTCAGTACATTTAGCAATAGGGCCTGTTGCACCATGCCAAGGTACAGAGTTGATGCTTCAAGCTGTCGACGGCATTCCAAAGGAAAAGGATGAAACTTTTTTTTAGCTCACCTGAGCCGAAGGCTCAAGTGAGCTTTTCTGATCGAAATATGTCCATTGTCTGTCGTCGTCGTTGTCGTGGTTGTAAACTTTTCACATTTTCATCTTCTTCTCAAGAACCACTGTGCCAATTTCAACCAAACTTTCCACAAAGTATCCTTGGGTAAAGGGAATTCAAGTTTGTTCAAATGAAGGGCCACACCTTCTTCCAAGGGGAGATAATCATGAATTTGTGAAAAATTGATGGCATCACCTAAAAACTTGTCAAGAACCACTGTGCTTGAAAATATGAAACTTATATGGAAGCATCCTCAGGTAGTGTAGATCCAAGTTTGTTCAAATCATGACTTCCAGGGGTAGGGTGGGGCCACAATGGGTGATCAAAGTTTTACTTAGGAATACATAGGAAAAAGCCTTTAAAAATCTTCTTCTCAGAAACAGCAAAGCCATGATTGATCATATTTAAAAGGAAGCATCCTCAAGTAGTGTAGGTTCAAATTTGTTCCAATCATGACCCCCGTGAGTAGGGTGGGGCCAGAATGGTCGATCAAAGTTTTGCATATAATACATGTACATAGGAAAAATTTGTAAAAATCTTCTTCTCAAGAACAGCAAAGCCATGATTGGTCATTTTTATATGGGTGCATCCTCAGGTAGTGAAGATTCAAGTTTGTTCCAGTCATGACCCCCCCTCCCCCCAGGGGTAGGGTGGGGCCACAATGGGTGATCAAAGTTTTACATAGGAATACATAGGAAAAAGCCTTTTAAAATCTTCTTCTCAAGAACAGCAAAGCCATAATTAGTCATATTTAAATGGAAGCATCCTCAGGTAATGTAGACTCAAATTTTGTTCAAATCATGACCCCCCCCCCCCCCCCCAAGAGAATAGGGGGGCCATAACAGGGGATCAAAGTTATACAAAGGAATACAAATGTTATATCAATAAAAATTGTCTTGTTAAGAACAGCATAGCCATTATTTGTCATATTAATTCAAATATTATTATTTTGCTTTATTTCAGTGTAGTAGCTTCAAATGAGTTTTTAATTTTTTTTTTTTTTTTTTTGACAATTTAAAATTAGAGATCATCTTAGTAATAAGATTTTTTATAATGTTGCTGTCTTTAAATTTTCTCTGTAAAAGTAACATGTACATGTACATGATACATTTGGTATTTTTCAAATGCAGTTGAAGGAATTTAATTGAGCATTGTCAAATATTTCATTTAAATACTAGTTGTGTTTTTATGACTTTATGGTATTAAAAAAGACATAAACTTTGTTCTGTTCATTCATTTGTATATTTTGTATAATTTTAGGGCAAACAAAATCAGCATTTGTATAAAATGTTTTGCATGTTTAAAAACAACTTTTGCAATGAAGAACTGTATGAAATTTGGGCAACACTGTGAAAAAGTGGATTTTATTTACTGATGTGTTCACACTTTTGAACACTCTCTCTGTTAAACTTGCAATTTTATGTATTTGCAGTTTTTGCAATGTGCATTTTCATGCTAAGGGATCCTGTAAAATGAGCCCCATAGCTACATGTATAACCAGTTCATTGCTATAATACATTAAGCCTTGTCAAAAACTCATGATTTTTAGCTCTACTGGTTAGAGACCAGAAGAGCTTATGCGATAGTAAGGGGTTGGTCGTCTGTCTGTCCGTCAACAAAAGCTACTCCTACAGTTTTGGTCTGATTCCAATATTACTTGGCACAAGTAAAGTACACTGAGATACATAATTTTTTTTATCGGATTTTGATTTTGATGAACGGTGTTGCTATGAATACTAAAATAGAAATTTCTGTAAAATTCTTTTAAAATCTACTCCCCCTTTAGTTTTAGTCAGATTTCCATGAAAAGAGACCAAATCAAGGATCATTATTCTATTTATTTCTGTTGCAAAGTCAAGTCCAACTGCTACTTATCTCTTCCTTTGTTAGAAGTACAAACCAGTAGAGCTACAGTCTCGAAAAAGACTTCTGGTTAAACAAATATTCAAATCATGCATCTTTGTGACATTCTGGATAAATATAAGCTAATTTCAGTCATGAAGATTGAAGGTCATGTGCCTGAAATGATTTAACGTTCAAAATGTAATCACTCTAGTCCAGTATGCCTTTCTACCCAGATATTGTGTAATTTTGCTAGGGTGAAAAAATCAACTAATTCAAATGTGCCACCAAATTGCCTGTTATTTTTACTTAAATATCTTAAAACAAATACTTCTTGATAAAAAATATAATCACTGAAGTGTCTCTTAAAATTCTATGCCTGTTTTTTCTACAGAATATCCCTTAGAATTATTGTGACCTTTTTGCACTTGCAGTTCTGCACTTACAAGAGTGAAAACTCCATTAATTTAAATTTGCAACCAAAATCCCATTAATACTAAATAATATATTTAAAAACAATCACTTTTTAAAAATATGAAATCAATGGAAGCGTTTCTTGGAATTTTATAGCTGTTTTTCTGCAGACTATTCAAATATCTTTATTTCTTACAATTATCGTGACCTTTTTGCACTCGTAGCTCTTCACATTCAAAAAGGTATGTGGAAAAAATTCTGTAAATATTTTTTTCAAAGGTTTTAATTCCTTAAATCCATTAGTTATGAAGATATTATGGAATTTTTTTTATACACAAACAGAATATGATTGTACAAAAGGTGTTATTTTTCCATACTGGGTATAGAAATAGGCTGACGATAAACTAATTCTCCCTGTATCCATGGTAACAAATCAAATGACGTCACCAAACTTACGCAGTAAGTAAGTGACCTTGATCTCACTTTGTATGCAAAGTTTCAAGAAATTTTGAAAAACTTGCTTTCATAGCATTCTGCATGGTTTTCTCGTAGACACGCATTTAAGAAGTTATCATAACAATAACAGTGAATTACAGTATAGTAGTCTTCCAAATTGTATAAATTCACACATGGAGTTTGAATTGACCTTGACTTACCTGAACTACAACACAACTAAGGTCAAGGTCCTTATGTTTCCTACGAGCATTTGCTGGAATCAGGAGGAACTGCTCCAACTTCATTGCACTATCCACCTTAAAACAATGAACAAGAATTAATTCCAGATATAATAATAAAAACTTTTTTTTTTAGCTTTGAGAATAGTGAGGTAAAAATATATTACTTTATTAATTATTTTCACATCCATTAAAATATATATAATGAACTCTACAACTTTTTGACAGACTAATTTAACTATAATTTGAACATGATGTACCTTTACAAGTGTAATCCTGTGTTCCCTGCAGTGAGCCTCTATCAGTACATGCTGCATATGGACCAGTTCATCACTCTCTTTCTCCTCTACTGGCATCACACATAGTAACACCCCCTCTGGTGCCCTACATAGAAATATACAGCATTTAAACAATACCAATAGATGACTGAGACAGTAAAATATTAAATTACTTCTAAGATGAATATATCTTCCACACATTTCCCTTACATCTTAATTGGAATAAAGTCAGCATTATGTTCATACCCTTTGTTTCTCCTCTACATGTATGTCTTATTTTAGGCCCAAGACCTTAAATTCTCACAAGTCTCTCATAAACCCCAAAGTTATCCACTCATCCTTCCTCTAAATCTCTCTCCCAGACTGCAGACTCATGTCTAGTTCTATCCCTGTCACTCGAACACTTACACCTGTAGTTCTCTGGCACACGTGTAGAGCCCCGTTGTTACTCTGCCTTTATCTGCAGCTTGTTCTATCACTTCTTTGAATGTCTTGTTCAGATCCATACTGCAAAAGAACATAAGTTTTTGACAGCTGTTGGATTTTAAATTAAGCATTCAGAATTTCACATTCAATGGCAGAAAATTTGGATTTTCTGACTGCATCTAATTATAAATACTACAAAATTAATAGCGAAATATTCATGATGCATATAGGTGGTTTTAGTGAAGAGTTTCCAAAATCTAAAATGCATTTCCCTAAACACGTGTCCGTTCGCGCTCAATAATTATAGCATGTGATTTCTTTCAGAACTTTTACCTTTTGTCTTCTGTGGTATTACACTCAGTTAAAGTCATAGTATTCCAATATTTCACACTTATGCAGCTTCTTCTTCAAACGATTCCTTGGTAGCCGGTAACGTGTATCTCTTCTGAACTTTGTCTTACATTATGTCAGCACATTCTTCCTCGTGTACTTTGACCCTAAGAGGGGAGGAGCTAACAGAGTTTCTCGCCATGTGATTTGATAATTCGTCGGTTTAAAGGTCAATTGTGCCATGTTGCTAGCTACCGATGATGTCATAGTAAACAGATATAAATAAAAACACATGGAATCCTATAGTGAATTTGATTATTTCTGCATGGATGGCTAATTTTGCTGTTGTTAAGCACATATTAGCCTCAAAATCGTATCGTTCAAAGTAGAAGGGTATCTTCTGCAAGTATTGCACCATTACCGGATGTGGCCTAAATTTGGGATTTCTGGGCCGGGGATTCCCCCATGTCATTTCATCATGCCAAAGCATGAATGAATCCGCCACGTGGATTTGTATTTCATTCACGGGATAGGTGTGAGGAATTTACATCATTCAGATGACAAACAAACATACATGTATTATCAAAGCAAGACAAGTGGAGGTGCATGGGCTACAACGCTCAAACAAATATTGAGATTCATATATACATTTGCACATTCATTATCCTATTACCCAGCTAGCACAAAAACATTTTTAAAATGTTTTAAAAACATTTTCAAAATGTTACAAAAACATTTTTAAAAATGTTTTAATCACGTGATTTTGTATGGTTTTTTAAACGTTTTTAAAACATTTTAGCACAATGTTTCAGCAAATGTTATCAGAACATTTTATTAAAATGTTAAGAAAACATTTTTAAAAAATGTTATAATCACGTGATTTTGTATGGTTTTTTAAACGTTTTTAAAACATTTTAGCAAAATGTTTCAGCAAATGTCATCAGAACATTTTCCTTAAATGTTATTAAAACATTTTTGAAAATATTTTATTCACGTGATTTTGTATGGTTTTTAAAACGTTTTTAAAACATTTTACCCAAATGTTGCAATGACATCTCTTTCCTGAAATGTCACTTAACTTTTTCATTAAATGATATCAACATCATTTTGTATGAATTTAAAAGTGCTTTTCATACATTTCATCTTAATTATAACTCTCAAAGAATTAATCACAACTGATATGAATTCAATTTTTATAAATTTTAATACAAATCCTTATTTAATATGAGAAACATATTTTAGTTCCATTTCCGGTACAAGTTCTGAGTTACTGTATTCTGTTTTAACCCGACAGGTATTTTTAAAGGAAAAACATTCATTCCATTCCATTTGTTTGAATTTAAAAACAACAGAATCACATAAATCCTTCCCAATAAACAGAATAAACAGACCTAGATCACTGTTATCATTTACGATCCCGCAAAAAGCATGTATCTACATGTACATGTGTAGGTTCCACAGAGCGGCGGATCTACTATGTAAATGAAATCGCACACATTGATAAACTTTACAAGGAGTCTGTCCTCGGAAAAAATTGAACAAAACGCTCAATCTTTTCTGTAAAGCAGAACCTGTAAACATAGAGACAATAGTGTTTAAGTCATCCGTCTACATCATATCTTTAAATAATGAAAATATACAAGAACATTTTTTTAAATCATAAAATCACATGAAATTTTCCCATTTGCATTAATGAAAAGAATTAGAGTTGTTGCATGTTCATAACTAAAACACACAAATATTATTGAAGAGCAATGATATTTACGTACAAAAAAAATGCTTTATCAGCTACAGGCGGTTCTTTCAAATGTGGCGATTTGAATGAAATTCAAGTCTGTTGATGGAACTGTCATCTAACTGCAATATGATTTCATGTTTCAATAAAAAGATATTTTGAGTAATGATCAACATAAGACAAGGAGGAATATTTATTATTGCCTAAAGTATTCAATTCAAATACATAATACCTTTGTTATTGCTACACATATGCATACAAAAATACAATGATGTACTGGTAACAGAAAAGTCACTTTTAAAAATAATCTTTTGAAATTTCTGATGAAATTATACTCACAAAGCAGGTTTTCATAATCCAGCGCTAATTCTTCTGGCTTATATGATGCAAAAATCTTGTTTGAAAATCAGCAACAAGAAAACGCGCACAACCTGTTTACCAGAATTCAAATTTTGGCCTAGATAAGCTGCAAACCACTAAACACTGTACGCGCTGCCCAGCAGGAGAATTGCATAACAAGGTTATCATGACACTGAAACTGACCAGTGAGGCCACTCCTAATCTGCTGCCTTAGTGTATATGATGCAAACAAAGGAGATCGTCAAAAATCAGGCTGTGTTAATTATTGTAATCAGTTTGCTTATTATTTGGTTTTCTTTTTTAAATTAAAGTATCTTTAGTTTATTCAGTGAACTTTGTATTGATTACATGTCTGTCAACCTAATAAGAAATTTTGAAAAAAGAAATAAAAATACTGGGATAATGTTTTCGGAACATTTTTTAAAAACAATTCTTCATTTAATCTCAATCCTCTTTGGATATTCTATTTTTTTTTTTCAGAAAAATTGGGTTAGTCATGAATATTTTAAAAAACATTTTTAAAAAATTACATTACTAAATATTGCATCAATGCTAAATAAAATGTTTAAGTCTTTAAAAGGACAAACGTTATAGTCAATGTTCTTAAAACATTTTTACAACATACTTTGAAAATAAACAAATGCATTAATATTAACAATGATATAAATGTTTTAAAAACATTTTGAAAATGTTTCTATAGAATGTTGCATAAATTACAAATAAAATATCTCAGTTGTCGGAGGAAAAAAACGTTTTGTTCAATGTTTTAAAACATTTTCACGACCAACACTGAAACATTTAAATATTAAACTATAAGCAATATTAAGAATGTTTAAAAAACATTCTGACAATGTTCCTTCGAAATGTTTTAGAAACGTAACACTACTATGTTTCATATATATAGAAGAGGAATGTTTAATTCATGTTTTAAAAACATTTTTATAACGTAATATGAAACTGTTTAATATATGCAAACAAGACATACCTTTGGAATCATTTTTAAAACGTTTCAAAAACATTTTATAGAAATGTTCCTTAAAGATTTTAATTTAACCTTTTTGAAAACATTTTAAAAATGTTTTTAAAATGTTACAATGGGAAAGAAAAATGTTTTAAAAACATTTTTAAAATGTTTACTCTGAAATGTTTTGAAAAAACCTTTTTATAACTGCAATAAAATGTTTTGAAAATGTTTTGTGCTACCTGGGTATGTCGCTGATTTAAAAAAAAAAAGTATATTGTCTAGTGAGCTTTTATGTCAACTTAACAAATATCAGTTCTTTTTAGACAATTCCACATGTACGTATTCAAAATTTTATTCCCATTTGAACTGGCAAAACTGAATGTATATAATACTGACACATAAATAGTCTACATTTCAATATATTTAATTCGACCAGTTATGATGCCCATTGAACAATCAATTTATAGGCCACATGTACAAAGAATTAACTGATTAAGGATACATAACACGAATAAAAAAAATCCATGGACTGATATATACATGTCTTTTTTTTTTTTTTTTTTTTTTTTTTTTTTTACTGATTTGCCTAACATAGATTACATATATAATAATAGATCCATGAAATATAAAGATCTCTGGTGTTTAAATATGCGAATTTGTGCAATTTTCTTTATAAATCTTCACTAATTTTTGCACACACTTAATGCCTTTAGGCCACAGTACAGTGTATATTAATTCTTTGTTTTACGTCCCCAGGAGGGTAGATTTTCAGAAAAATCCGTTAAAAACAACACAAGTTCGTCAATTTTCTCTCTATATTTTGGAAATATTGGAATTCAATCAATTTTGAGGCTACAATAGTTTTTGAGAGAAAAAGACCAAATAAAAAAATACCAAGTCAGAAAGCAAAATTTAAAAGAAATTCAAGCGTGTTGAATCATATTAATTGATGCTCTTGTTTTTGACATAATTGAATAAAGTACATGTACTTGAAAATAAAAGAATAAAAAACGTGCAACAGCTTTCTTTCTCATTTATTAGTCAATGTTAAATGCTGATTATAGAATATGTTTATTGAAATGTGTTTGTTATTTGGTCGGACTGGAAGATATCTTTTTAAAGAATAAAGGGACGTAAAACAAAGATATTTTTTACCATGGTCTTATTACAAAAGCTTATAAATCTTAGAGAAAGCATATAGACCGAGCACGAAGGCCGAGGTCAATATGATTTCTCTAAGGTTTATACCCATTTATGCTGGACAGGAAAACGTTACAAAATATTTTTTTTTCGTTTGTGAGACCTACATGTATACTAGCTGGAATACGCCGATATAATTAGGGATAATATACCAGTCTATTTAGTAGATAAACTTGAAGGTGTACAACTCGAAGCAGCTAGAATAGTTACAGGAGGGAATAGAATGGCAGCTAGATACTTGTTATACAAAGAGACGGGATGGGTAACCCTATCGAAAAGAAGAGAAAATCATCGTTTAATTCAATTCCGCAAAATACCGGTATATATATATATCATAAAAAGCCCCCTGATTACTTAGTAAATATTGTCTCCGATTCTCATAGTTACAAAACTAGACAAGAAAACTCACTACAAGAAATTCAAACTAGAACTCAACTATACTATAATTCCTTCTTTCTCAGTACAATATGTGTTTGGAATAAATTACCTTTGGTGATTCAAAATAATCCATCCTTTTCGAGTCTCAAATGATACTTAAATTCTAGTTTATCTAGAATACCCAATTACTTCTTTGTTGGGAGTAGGCCTGGTCAGATTTAACATACGAAACTCAGACTCGAATGCAGTTCTTTGAATTTACATATGTTTCGTAGAAATCTTTGTATTTCTCCAATATGTTCATGTGGTGAAATTAAATCTATCGCACATTTTTTTTTTCATTGTAAAAATTTTATAAGAGTGCGAAATAGAACTATTCTTACAATACTTCATCCTATTACTTTATGATTCACAAAATCTTTCAGAAAGGAAAAACCAAAATATTTTTCTTGTAGTTCCAAACTTTCTAATTGAAAGTAAA